TGGTCTGGTCTGTCCTGGTCTGCTCTGGTCTGTCCTGGTCTGGTCTGTCCTGGTCTGGTGTGGTCTGTCCTGGTCTGGTCTGTCCTGGTCTGCTCTGGTCTGTCCTGGTCTGGTCTGGTCTGTCCTGGTCTGCTCTTGTCTGTCCTGGTCTGGTCTGTCCTGGTCTGCTCTGGTCTGTCCTGGTCTGGTCTGTCCTGGTCTGGTCTGGTCTGGTCTGTCCTGGTCTGGTCTGGTCTGTCCTGGTCTGGTCTGGTCTGTCCTGGTCTGGTCTGTCCTGGTCTGGTCTGTCCTGGTCTGGTCTGTCCTGGTCTGGTCTGGTCTGGTCTGGCCCTTTCCTGCCTTGCCCTGGCATGGCCCTGTCTGTGTGCGTGTGCGTGTGTGTGTGTGTGTGTGTGTATGTTGTACCCCACAAGTACATCACACAAGCGATAAACAACCGGTGAAACAAAGTGCTACCATGCGGATGAGGATTACCTGTGGAGAGGTCCTGGAAATCCCATTTAGTTGTTTGTCCATATTTCAGGCCAAAGCCAGGGTGGGGCTTCAAAATATCTAAAAATTACATTCCACAAGGGGATGACGAGGTATATGAATTATACGTTATCATAATCTTTTGCAATTGTAATCGTTTTAAAGTAGGAATATTTAAACAGAATAAATTAAATTATTACGTACCCCTTTGTGAATGATTCCAAACCGAAATGGCTTCGTAATCTTCTCAGGTAGAAAAGGAAAAAGTGTTTCCAACACAGGGCTTATAAGGCGAGGATCCAGCGATTTAGGTCTCGTATGTCCTTCAGAAAGTTCACCAAAAAAAAAAAAAAAAAAAAAAAAATTAATAATAATAATAATAAAGACAGAGGTAATTAGGGTCTTTTAACTGAATATTACTATCACATTAGCCGTTTTCTTCTTTCTTTCTTCTTCAGCATTCCGATTCATTGAAGCTAACCGCTGCAGATATACACACCCCCAAATTCTCTTCTCAAGACTCTTGTCATCGCCTCTTTAGAGATGGACAATGTATTTTACACAGACTAAGGACACAACAGACTACGTCAATACATGTTCAAACTTTTTGGTGTAGAAAACGTGGAAACGTGTCCCTTCAGCGTGGTACCAGAAAATGCTGAGCATGTGCTCCAACTCTGTCAACTCTTTGCTGCCAACAGAGACGCAATCTGGCCTGTTCCAACCACAATGAAGACACAACTGTATGGTACACGAAACATTTTTCTTTCTTTGTCAAAATAATTATGACACGGTCTTGTTGCAAAATTTTCGTTAATACAGTTATTATTAACACTGTGCCTTCTTGTGTATCGATTCGGCTCACCTCTTCTTCCAGATATCACATCTTTACCTCAGACGTTACGTCTCTCTACACATCTATTCCATATTCTTATGTTCTCTAGGCTTTGCGGCTCTTTTTAGATCGCAAAGTCAGTCCTACTATAGCCACAGACCCTTGATACTTCTTGCCGAGTCAGTGCACACTCTCACTCTGTCGAGTTTTATGGCCACTATTTCCACCAGATCAAAGGGTCGCTATGGACACCAAAATGGGACCTAGCAATACCCGCCTCTTCATGGGCGATCTCGCACATCAGACACGTCATATATATATATAATAGATGGCTCTCCAAGCTCTACAGGAGTTATATCGATGACTGCATTGTCGTCTCCAATAAGCCGCTGCCTAAACTGCAGGACTTCATTACTTTTTTTCTCCAACTTCCATCCTAGCATTCTTTTCACTTCCAGCATTTCACCATTGTCGTTGCATTTTTGGGGATCTCACTATCACCTTAGATTATAAATGCCTCAGCACCTCGGTGTACTATAAGTCTATTAATTTTTATGCGTTTCTTCTCCAAACGTCTTCTAATCGCACTTCTTGCAAGGACTATTCTTTTCTCCCAGCTTTTACACTCCGCAGACTGTGTCAAGAGAACGGTAGCTTTCACCATACGGTCATGGAATTGCTGGACTTCTTCTGGCGTCAAAGTTATCCTGAACACGTCTTATCTTCTGTCTTTCATCGATCACGGTCTATTTTCGTGATGAGGCTCTCGTTTCCAAGCCTGAACTTCACCACAACAGACCTATCCTCATACTAAGCTACCACCCTCTCAACATCTGGGCCATAAATATTCTCCTCAAGCATTTAAATATTCTCCTTAAGCATTTCTCTATCCTTAGGGCTGACCCTGTCACCAGCACGATTTTCTCTGAACTTTCTCTAGTGGCCTACATACATGACTGTAACTTCAAGGACGTTCTTGTCAGGAGTCGGTTACGTTCCACTTAGGAACGATATCCTGCCACAGACCTATATGCAAGACGTGCCCATATATGGTTAAGGGAAAAAGTCTCAAATTCTAAAATGCCACCTTCCACGTAAGTGGGTCATTGTATTACACGAGCCACAATGTCATTTACACCATCAGCTGCAAGACACTGGCTGACATGTTCAGACATATTTTGGATGTGGAGAACGGTGCTCTGAAACCAGTACCGTTGCTTTTCATTTTTCAGTATCACCAAGGTGCCAACGACATCATTAGATCCAGCTACTTCTAACCGCTTTTTTTTTCACCTCAGGGACCCAAACACCTAGGGGACTGAACTGTCGACACAATTTCAGCTAAAATTCTCGAGTTACGACCCTCAGAATTCCTGGGCTATTTAGTCTTGGTTCACGTGTGTCTCTTCATTCCACTGACTGTTTCGGGATACGTCAGCTAAGGAATTTTGTGCAATCATGTGGTTTTTTCCTGATTCATGTCTGTGCTGATGAAGGCTCTGTAGCCGCAACGTTTCGTTTGTTTTTGTTATATTGTGCTAATCTACTTTTTGTTCGGTTGTATATCTTTAGTGACAGCGTGTTTCACAGGTGTTATCTTCTGTTCCAGTGCCCGCCTCATTGTTCATGCAGTGATGCTAAACCAATATCTTTACAGACCATTCGTGTGGACGATATGTACAACCCCCGCCTTCACTTCCCAGAAAACTTACCTGGTAACAATTCCAGGTCGGGTCGACGGGGAGCTAGGTCAGTTACGAAAAAATCTGCGGATTCGAACCAAATACCTACTGTCTAAAAAAGCAAACATCTAGCCACTACTGCGTCGTCCAAAACATATATTACTAAAGGTGAAAAAAGCAACAACAACAACAACAACAACAACAAACCAAACCTGTTGCGAAACTGACCACCAGCCCAACCGCCCAACAGATAATCATTCCAAGCCCAGTGTAGTACATGTAAGACAGTTTATATAGGTCCAGTACAGGACTGCTGCAACGGTAGAAATTCAAGGTCATTATAATATATAACTTTTAACATTGTTAATAAAGCCATAGAGTTCATCCTAGAGCAACTCCTTCAAGGAGAAGGAGAAGGAAAAGATGTCAACAACGATGTAAAACTGATACAGAACATTTAAAGATGACCAACTTAATAAAATCGACGTACCACAGTGGCATGTACACAATGAAAACGTGGGAGGGTGAGGGGCTTGGATGAGAGTAGGACTCAGATCTTTAATAGTGAATCTAGCGGTGGAAGCTCATGGAGACAAAGCCTTGTTGAAGTGCGTAATTATAAATATATTATCGTTCTTGTTAAACAAGTTCGTATTAATGGTGTTTCGTATATATATATATATATATATATATATATATATATATATATATATATATATATATATATATATATATACACACACACAGGCACACTCGTGTGAATACATAAATATATAATGTGTTGAATGGCACATAAATATAATAAAATATCTGAAATTATATGAAATTTGAAGAAAAAAAAACACAGTGGGTAGGTAGTTAAGTGCTTTACTGGAAAATTAATACAAAGTTGTCATTTTCAACCAGCATCCCCTAAGGGAGAGCTTTAGGCTATAATTGTGACTGGATTATGTGCGCCAGATAAAATCGCTTAGCCCTGCACGCCATCAAGAGCCCTGAAAAATACTCACGCAGTATTGCTGCGATCTAAGGAAACAGACACAAATACTGTCATGACAGGCGACGAAGTCGTCTACCTGCGAGCCAGTAGGCGACCCAGGCGCTTATGTGTGGAATATAGTACACTTTTATATCGATAGAAGCGCTCAGCCTCCGCCCGTTCCCCCCCCCCCACACCCGCCCCTCCACATGCATAACAAAATTTTTCAATAAACATGAGCCCCTAAGTTCTGGCGACTATGACATACCTGTGGTTAGCAGTCCCATTGACAACCGCTGTCAAGTTTGCAGCAGATGCTTGTAACGGCTTGGCTGTAAAATTGCAGCCTGTGACATAGGTTGGGGAAGGCAACGCTCTTTCACCACTTACAAAAGCCCCTATCCCTATCCAGAATAAAAAAGCAAGTGACGCCAACAGTCCACACATGGCACCCTGCAAAGAAACGAAAAAAAGATTGATGTTCCAAAAGCTAAAAATAATGTTTATATACCAGCTGCGCGTTCAAGTGTGTATAATATGAAAATGTACAATTTATCCAGGGGAGACTGAATGCGTGGGATAAAACCCGATGCCTCTTTAAAACCTGACACTGAAAGGTATCACAGGACTAGAGAAGAAGAAGAAGTAGACGAAGAAGAAAAATAAGAAGGATAAGGAGATATAAGGCAACTGTGTATGCTGTAAATAAAAATAAATAAAAGTGGCTGCATTGTGATTGGAAAGCATAGAACTATGTACGGGCGTGAAAATTTGATTGAAAAGAATAGCACAAACGACAGTTTTAAAAGAGAAAAAGGGTATACAAACAGCAAATGCCAGTTTACAAGTGGTGACCAAAAAAAAAAAAAAAAAAAGATTGTTTATGAAAGAATGCCGAAAAAGGAAAAGGCCAAACAGTCAGATGCCCAAAAGCCAGCTACTTTGAGTCCCCTAGAAGACGACATCGCATTCCCGGCAACTATATTGACCCGACAGACAAGCTTGGGACAAGCGTCTATTACTGCTCTATCTATGCTGCCAACACTGAAGACTATTAGAACCTGCTGGGGAATAGGTCTGTAGCCAAGTTAAGAAAAATCAGGGACGGATTGGTCGCCACACTCATCACGACGTGAAAACAGCAAAGCTAATCCACGCTACAAATTCAAAGTCAAATCTCGAAAGAGGTAGCTTCAATTTGAGTTTTCAATCAGAAGTAGTGGCTCTACTCAGTGACATAAAAAATCAAGGAGATAAACGAAGAATACCTAACATTGTAAATATGGAACCTCCCAAACCGGACGGAAAACGAAAGAAATTCAAACTCAAAAACCAAAGCCAAGACCGGGTGACTGATTGACTGACTTTCTACCCCACGAGGACATCACACAAGCGATAAACACCCGATGACACAATGTGCCACCATGTGGATGAAGATCACCATGGAGAGGTCCCAGAAACCACGTTCAGCCCTTAGGCCATATTAATGGCGGGCTATATTGCGGGCTCTGGCAAGCGCCAGAGTAGGGCTTCAAAAAAAGCCGAAACATTTTCATCCTAAAAAGGACGGGAAGTGAGACCGGGTGAGAGAGGCAGAGTAGTTGTAGCAAAGCAAACATTGAAAGATCTGGTGAAACGATCCAGACTTTAGATAAATTGCACGAGGAGCAGCGACGACTGGTAGCGTACAGATTATATCGAGAAGCGATTATCCAGCATAAGTACAAAGAATGCACCTAGTCCTGAAGAAAATATTATAAGCAAACAATAGAATGACGGCCTGGAAAATCTTATAGGGAGATATGCACGAAGACGACACACTGACACCGTTGACGAAGCCTGGTCAAGATCGCGATAGCAACTGAGGACCTAATGGTGGAACAACAGCGGACATAGATCACCCTTTACACGAAGCTCTGGACACACTGTTTGCAGCCCACGGTTCCCGGGGTTTACCCAGCCTCTAGGAAATTGGTACCAGTGTTGACACTCTAGCAAATGGAGGAACGTCGCTGTAGCTACAGAGTTACATGAGGACAGGCGGACAATTCTTATCAGCTATCCGTACTGGAGAGCACTTATGGTTTATAAACGTGTGCAAAGACGCTGGTTCACATCTCCCGATTTCACCTTTACCTTTAGCTCTGGACACAGTTAAGGGTCAGCGGCTGATAAAAGGGAAGTGGGGGATGGCTCACGCAGAAGACACAATCAATTTGGATGGCTTGGGCAGAAGACACAACGCGGATGGCTTAGGCAGAAGACACAATCAGACAGATCTGCAACCTGAAGAACGAAGAACATTAGGCGAGGAGGGGAGTAGGTCAGAGTACCAGCGAAACAGTCAGACTAGTGAAGGGCCTTAATCACATTGAACCGGGAGTGCAGGGAATGGCTAGCAGGTGGCACTGAGGTGGAAATTCAGCAATTCAAGATCGTGCTCGTTCAGAGGGTGTGATTGTTATACAGACGGTTCAGTGTCAAGAGGCAAATTAAGTGATTGGGGTTCTTAGCAAAAGCGAATGGTCGACGTTTAGTACAGGAGAGTCTAGCGTATAATACCACAACATCCAGTCTAAGAATGGAGGTGGAGGCGGTAACTGCAGCTTTTCGCTGGCTAGAGAACAAAACACACACACACACACACACACACACACACACACACACTCACACACACACACTCTCTCTCACACATCGTGATTGTAACTGACTAAGAAAGCATGTTGAGGAAGGTGTGGAAAGGCGTGTTTCGTGCTAAATGGCATGCTTCACTTCGGAGGTCACAGGTGAGAAGCACTGTCTGGATTTTCTCCCCCGGTAATGCCAGTGTGCTGGGAAACAAACAGACAGACAGACTGGCTGGCACTGCACAACTTGGTGGAATGCTGATACATGATAAGGTAGATTTGGTTAGGGCCTTATGGGAGAACTTCTACGATTCAGAGGAGCACATTAATCAACACAGAATGTTGACAGTGATACAACGGGAGTTATTAAAGGGATTTGGTCGATACTCGACTCGAACGTATAATCAGAATGCTGTTGGCACAGTTCTGCAAGAGCGTTTGCTCCGAGGAATCTCCTGTGACATTCTGGCGCCTTTAATGGAGCAGGCACGCGCCGCACGACCAAGGGGTATCCCTGATTTTCAGGGTACAGACCTGATAGTGCAGAGAACTGATGCTGATAAAGGAAGAACCCTTCTTGCGCCCTACTTGGAGCAAACTGATCAGAATGACGAAGCTGCAAGAATAGGGGTTAAGATGAAACTGTCGATGCTGTGCGAGAACACTGTGCTAGGCACTGATTTTACAATTACTGCAGAAACCTTAAGAACTTGCCTCAAGAAATCACGCAGCACTGCTCCAGGTCCTGACGGCATCCGATACAACGACATGCTGATGATGTCGAATGCTGATCTGAAAAGCGTGGCAAAGGAATTCAATATCAGCATCCAGAGTGGCCAGATACAAGAGGAATGGATCCACAGTTATCTGTTTCCACTAACGAAGCCGAATAAAGACCACTCAAAGATCAGCAGCTACAGAATCATCTCGATGCAGAAAACTGTTGGCAAACTTTTGGAGAAAATTGTCGCACTAAGATTGACTACCTACTTTGAACTACTCGATGAGTTCCCACCAACACTTGGAGGGTACAGGTTGAATACAGTTACATGGTTCAAAGCTGATGTTTATGCCTACGATGTTTACGAGGGATTTCAGATTAAAGAAGAGTCATGTGCGGCAGCGGTGGACTTAGAAGATGCCTACAATAAAGTACCATTTAAATATTTAATGCAGTTACTGCTTAAACTAGAAGTAAATCCTATTTTGATCCGCTGGATTGCTGCGGTCCTGTTCCAGAGAAAGATAGTACTAAGATATGGTAGCTGGTCCTCAGAACCGCAAACGATATGTTCAGGCTTGCCACAGGGATCACCGCTATCACCAGTCTTATTCAACGTGTATACGGTGATGATCGCTGAGAAGAAGTTGAATGGAAAGGGAAGGACTTTGTCATTTGCTGATGACATTTTGATTTATCGACGAGGACGTGATAGACAGTAGATCGCCAGCACAATGCACAAAGAACTCAATCGAATTGCCGCCTGGTGTGATGGTTCCAATGCCTATGTCGATCCTTCGAAGGCATCTGTGTAATGGTGCTCTTTAAACAATCACATTGTCAAGTCGGACTTACCAGAAGTGAAAATGCGTGATTATGTATTGATCAGAGCCAACGTTATGACGTTTCTCGGGGTGAGGTTCGATTGCAGTTTGTCATTCAGGGAACACGTTGACCATGTGAAAACAAAAGCACGCAAAGGTCTATCTGCAATGACGATTATGGCTGCTTCCAATATCGAGCAAAGACTACTAATACTTCTATTCTACGGTCTGGTCCTTTCACCCATTGAATACGCTATGGCCATCCTCACTGTCAGTGCTACCCAGATTGAACGACTTGAAAAGGTGCAAAATGAAGCCAAACGCATTATTTTGGGATGTAGAAGAGACACATCCCGTGAAGCAATGGGGTTTCTACTTGACTTTCCAACTATGAACCAAAGGATCAGGATCTGGGGGGGGGGGGGGGGGGGGGCCCTTGGGCATACTTTAAAATATGTGCTTATAAGAAACACCCACTGCACCAAGCGCTTTTTAGTGAAAAGGGCGACAGACTGAAGAGGAGAAAATCATGGCTAGGTCGGGCAAAAGATGTTATTAGGCAAATATGCAGCCTAACCGACATTACCCTTGGTGCAGAGGGGATACCTGTGCCTCATGTGTTTATTTGTACATTTTCCTGTATTGCCACACTCAACTGGCGATGAAGAGAAGATACTCCTTTTGCTGTTAATGCAGAGGTCAACGCTCTGATCAATGAAAATTCAGACTAAGCAGATGCACTAATGGGCATGGAAAAGTATTCTAAATTCAGGGGAAACTATTTTGTTCTCAGGACACACAGAGGAAAATTCGCCCCACAGAGAAGGAGTGGCCCTGATGCTATCGAAATAAGCAGACAGGGCACTAATAGAATGGGAAGCTGTGAGTCCAAGAATAATAAGATCATCTTTTAGAACAGTGAAACAGAAGGTAAACATGTCGGTAATATAGTGTTACACACCAACAAAAAAATGCAGAAAGATGCATCTGTTAAGGAAGAATTTTACACGTAGCTTCAAAATATTATAAATAATGAAAAAAAGGGCAATTAAAAAATTTTGATGGGTGACCTGAATGCTAAGATAGGATCAGACAACACAGGTTATGAAGAAATTATGGAAAGACATGGTCTAGGAGTAATGAATGAAAATGGAGAATTGTTAACACATTTTTGTGCAGGAAACCAGTATGTTATTGGTGGAAGTATTTTTCCCCATGAAAGAATAAACAAGGCAACATGGAAATCACCAGATCATATGATAAATAATCAAATCGACCACCTATGTATTAACAAAAAGTTTAGATCATCCCTTTACGATGTTAGGGCATTCAGAGATGCCGATGTATTTATTGACCATTTCCTGGTGGTAAGTAAAATCAAGTTGAAACTAAAAAGATATATAACATCTTATAATCATAGAAACCAATATAATGTAGGCTGTCTCAGGGATAAAGAAGTTAAGGATCAGTTCTCAGTTACAGTCTCTAATAGGTACCAGGTGTTGCAGCAGTTGGCTGAAGATGTCAGCACAGAAGTCTGCTGGGATCAGATCACAGGAATCTGGAATGAATCTTGCGTAGAAGTTCTTAGTAAGAAAAAAAAAAACCATAAAGCATGGATAACACCAGAAACCATTTAACTGATTGAAGATAGGAAAAGTAAAAAGGCAGACTTAAACAATAGAAAAACTAGAGCTGCTAAAGATAGAGCTCAGGAGAAATACACGGAAGCCAATAAGGAAAAAAAGGAGGCATATAAGGGCTGATAAAGTAAAATATCTAAATGATCTAGCACAAGAAGCGGAGACAGCTGCAGCAAAAGGAAACCTCAGAGAAGTTTACAGTAACAAAAGCAAATTAATAGGTAAATATAGTCAGCAAACCGGATCAATAAAAAATGGTCAAGGAAGGGTACTTACTAACACTAAAGATCAAATGGATAGATGGGTTGAATATTTTGAAATGCTTCCCCCAGATATCCAGCTTTTAGAAATGGAACTGGATATCAACTGTGAGATAGCATCCAAAGAGGAAATTAGAAAAGCTATCAATCCTCTAAAGGAAGGAAAGGCGGCAGGCCCAGATGGTGTCCCAGCTGAAGCCATCAGGAACAACATAAACACATCAACAGAATTGCTACATAGATTATTCAGTAAAGTCTGGGAGACTGAAGAAATACCAGCAGACTGGAAAGAATGATATCTTGTGAAACTGCCCAAAAAGGTGATCTACAGGAGTGTGAAAACTATACAGGAATTATGTTGCTGTCAGTTCCTGCAAAAATATTAAGTAGAATTATTTTGGAAAGATTAAAAGATGCTTTTGATAAAAAGCTAAGAGATGAACAGGCAGGTTTTCGGTCAAACAGATCCTGTACTGATCAGATAGCCACATTACGTATTATAATAGAGCAAAGCATTGAACTGAACTCACCACTTTACATTGGATTTATAGACTATGAAAAAAGCATTTGACAGCATTGATAGGGAATCTCTCTGGAAATTGATGGGGCACTATGGAATCCCACAGAAAATTATCAACTTAGTAAAGGCAACATATATAGACATGAAATGTCGAGTTCTTCATGAGGGAAAGCTAACAGATGCATTTGAAATAAAAACAGGTGTGCGACAGGGATGTCTTTTGTCGCCTCTCTTATTTTTACTGGCTATAGACTGGACTATGAAAACAGTAACTGCTAACACCAAGAATGGAATTCAGTGGACCCCTACAAAACAGCTTGATGCTGTGGACTTCGCTGATGATATTGCTCTTCTGTCCCATTCACGGAATCAGATGCAAGATAAATTAAATATAGTTGATACGAGATCACAGCAGCTTGGTCTGAAAATCCATAAAGGAAAGACAAAGATAATGAGAATAAATCAGGCAAATAGTAATGTGGTTTCTCTTAATGGCACCCCACTCCAAGACGTAGAGTCGTACACCTGTTTGGGCAGTAATTTAGATATAGAGGAACTGATAGAGATATTAGAATAAGAATACAAAAGGCAAGAGGGGCTTTCATAGCACTAGGGAATTTGTGGAGGTCAAAAGAAATTAAAAGACATACTAAACTAAATTTTTTAAATTCTAATGTTAAATCAGTACTGTTGTATGGGGCGGAAACATAAAGAACAACTAAGGCAATTACTAATAAATTACAGACATTCATTAACTAGTGCCTGCGCAGAATAGAGGGAATTAATTGGTATGATAGAATAACTAATGTAGAACTTTGGGAGAGAACTAAACATGCTCCAGTGGACAAAGAGGTGAGGAAAATACGCTGGCGTTGGATAGGACACACACTGAGAAAACAGGAGAGCAGCATAACTAGAATGTCTTTGCATTGGAATCCACAGGGGCATAGGAATAAAGGAAGGCAAAAAAAAAAACACATGGAGAAGAGAGCTGGAGAATGAAGTTAGAAAGATGGGGAGGACATGGGGAGAGGTCTATGCAATGGCGAAGGATAGAACGACTTGGCGTGAGTTGGTTGAGGGCCTATGCTCCATTAGGGGAGAGAAAGGCAGAAGAAGAAGAAGAAGAAGAAGATGCACTAATCTACACAGAAGGATCCGTTCGTTATACGAAAAAAAAAACCGCCTTCTCCATGACAACCAGCAGCATGACAATGGAGGTAATGGCAGTGACGCAAGCGTTCGCCTAGCTTGAAACACAAAAATACACCTGCGTATGTATACTCAGTGATTCAATGAGTATGATCTGGAGGGTTCAGGCAGGTTCAGTGCGAAGACAATGGCTTAAATCATTAATATATGTATCATATATATATATATATATATATATATATATATATATATATATATATATATGAATCATATATATATGTATATATGAATCATATATATATGTGTGTGTTTGTGTATAAGATGTTAATGACAGACCTACAGTCTACATTGAGGGTGAAGAGCTTTAGACAGTAGACCATTTTACCTAGTCTACATTGACGGTTTGGAGCTGGAGACAGTAGACCATTTCACCTATCTGGGTTCCACAGTGAATAATAGTAAACTATCGCTGGACCAAGAAATTAACATTAGGATAGACAAGGCAGTAACACAAATGAGCAGATTGACAAAGAGAGTTTGGGAAAACAGAAAGCTTACAATTAAAACAAAAACTCTTGTCCATCAGGCGTTGTTCTTAGCACTCTGCTTTTTGGCAGTGAAACTTCGTCACCCTATTTGCACCAGGAGAGACGACTAAATAGCTTTCCTATGCGATGCCTAAGAAGAATACTTAGCCTTAAGTGGCAGGACAAAATCACAAACACTGAGGCACTGGAAAGAGCAGGTACTACAACAGTCTTTTCCATGCTCAGTCTACGAAGGCTCAGGTGACTGGGTCACACCTGAAGAATAAAAGATGCAGAATCCCTAAGGGCATCCTTTATGGTAAATTAGAGACAGAAAGAAGATGTCGAGGCCGACCTCTACTACTGTATAAAGATGTGTGCAAGCGGGACATGAATGATACAGGTATTAAGGTGGACTCACGGGAACCAAATGCCATGGACCGTGTTGTGTGGAAAGGGCATATCAGGAAGGGAATGAGAGTGAAGGAAGAAATGATTGCTGAAAGAATGAGAGCTGAGCGTCTGAAAAAAAAAAAAAAAACGGATTAAACACAAATGTTGACAACAATGGTTCTGAAATACCATGCTATGATTGTGGAAGATTTTTCCTGACACGGGCAGGTCTTGCTAGTCACACTCGCCATCGCTATGGGTTGTGAGTCTCATGCCTCCTCATAGCATAATATAACACTAACGTCTGGAAAGACGAAAAGGTGCCAGTCATCATATGTATATATGTGTATGTGTACACATATATATGTATGTAAATGGTGCATACCAAGCCCCTCCTCAACAAACATCCCCAAGTCCCAGAGTACATACAGGTCCAAGCCAACATATTTGGTACAAAGAAACCAAAACACAATTATAGCCGAAACTGCTCGCAGTAGATTAAACGTGGTGGATTTATTTTCATAAAAGGACGGATGACGTCCTCCTAATTGTATCATTGCCTGACTCCTAGTATCAATATTTTATTGCAGTATGGTTTGAATAAGATTGGTATGTCTTTTAACATGACCGAAATATTCGACTTGTCTCTTTGTTCTTTATCTCAGCATCTGTATTTCTCTAGCTGTCAATAGTTTCCGCATCCCCTTTTTAATTTCTATTTAACGTCTACAATTTTTTTGCTATTATTATGCTTTCAATATAGCTACACATGATAACAAACAACAACACAGAATGAAGACATAAAGAGCATTCAAATGATATATCAGTAAAGGAGTCAGATATAAAGCAACTGTACATTAAAATTAGTTGCGTATCCTTTACAGGACGTTGCAGAACCAACCCTAGCACTTTCTGGATGTAAAAAAAAAAAAAAAATCATAAAACATGTGATACAATGAAATACAAATAACACCAAACTCACATGTTTGTTTGCCCACGGAAAGAACATTCCTAGAGTAAAAACCCCAAGAACTGGACCGTTGAGAATACCAAAAACTGTATAGACAGCCTGCAATAGTTTTTGGACAATTAAGTTACGGTCTAGTCAAGAAACAGAATCGAAATTAAAATCTACCCCTTGAAATGATTACATTATGCTTCACAAGTAAGGTCCTTTGCAATAAGTCGCTCACATCACAACTAGTCGAAAGCCTTAGTAACGTGGTTCTTCTTGAACACGCATATAGTGAAAGCAGACTTACTAGCAGTGAAAAACAGCGAGGAAATTTTGACGAGAACAAATCTGATGACAGACCTAGGAGTTGGGTTTGATCGCAGCCTGTCCTTTAAAGAACATGTTGGCCATGTTATAACTAAAGCACGCAATGGCCAGTTAGCAATGAGGGTCCTGGTCGCCGCTAACACTGAGCAGAGATTGCTTCTACTTCTGTTCCAGGTACTTGTACTTTCTCCCATCGAACATGCTTTAGCCCTTCTCATTGTCAGCCATACTCAGATTGAAAGACTTAAGACGGTGCAAAACGAAGCATTGCGTATTATTCTGGGGCGCACTGGAGTCGTTAAGCAATGAGGTACTTTCTTAGCTTTTCTATTATGAACTACAGGACCAAGATTTGGAGCGCTCGTGCATACCTCAAGATAAGCTCGGATCTGAAGCACTCCTTGCACCACATGCTCTTCAAGAAAAAGGTCAATACACTTAGAAAGGGCAAATCATGGCTAGGTAGGGCAGAGGATCACATCACGCAGGTCTGCAGCCTTACAGATATCCATCCAGGTGAGGAATGGACACCAGCATTAAAAGCGTCCAGTCTCACATTCTCCTGTATCGTCATGCTTGATAGAAGTTGCCTTCTCCATGACTAGCAGTAGCATGACGATGGAGGTGATGGCGGTGACACAAGCTTTGATGGGGCTAGAATCACAGGACTATTCCCGCGTATGTGTGCGCTGTGTGATTTTTTGAGCATGATCTGGCAGTTTGATGCAGGCTGGTTACGCAGACAGTAGTTTGAGTCCTTGCATAACTCTCCTGTATGTGCATTTACCTACCGATTTGCCATAGGGTATGCAGGTGTTGTTGATAATAAAAGAACCAAAAGACTGGCAGGTGCCGCATTAACTGAAGATGATCGGCCCATTAATCACAAAAACATTGTCAATGCGCTTAGAGAGATAGGACGTTCCGAGGATTTTGGAAGCAACGTGTCCACATCACCTCTAAGAATACGAGAACTGGGAGTATAGATCGACAAGCTAAGCACGAGAAGCTCACCGGACACACACGAGGTCTTGTCAGCCAGCATAGGACGCACTGTTTACCGCCCGACGCTGATGAATATGTTGAGAGGGGAATCTAAGCACCTATTGATATGTCCGGAGTGCTGTAAAGATAATGAAACTCGTAATTCATAACTCATGCTGTGTTCAACTTCGTGCTGGTCGGCTCACTGTAACTCTTTCCTGACACCGCGCCATCCGGTACTATTCTTTCCAGTCTACAGTGGCACTTCCAACTGCTGACATATTTCAATTTCCGAGAAAAGGTGCCATTTACTAGCTAGTCGTCTTTGAAGTTCACATCTTTCAGGATGTCAGCATGTCTTTCTTACTTGGTCCACTTTATTCTGAGAATTTTCCTATAACATTTCAGCTAAAAAAAAAAAAAAAAAAACTCCATTTTCTTCCATAATGACTGCAAGACAGTCCATGACTAGTCTCATTTTGTTGCAATAGGAAAGATGCAAGTCATCAAACTGTCGACCTTGTTTTCACACTATGATCAAACTAACATCACGGTCTTGAGAGGTAGACTTAAGGATCTTCTTCTATGATGTTTCTAATGCGTGGCATAATCTGATCTTCAGTTCTTTAAAAGTCTTCTTGAGCTTGTTGTGACATACCGTACTCTGGATGGTCTCCCCCTGGCTTCCCGTTCATTGTATTTCTCATCGACTGGTAACAAGACATTCTCGTTAGAAGGCCAACTAATCTAATCTGTTGCACTTTAATGAACTGTATGGCTGGTTTCAGTCATTGTGAGCTTTTTAATTTGATCTCTTTTTGTTATTCCGGTAGCTTTTCTACGATTATGTATATGACAAATTAAAAATGTAATAAAACGCAAATACTTCTTTCTGTTTCAAATATTTGATTTCTGTGACATATCTTCCTCTTCTTTTTAGTCTTCACCGGCTGTAAGCGCATGCAGAATGTTCTGGTTGTTCGCCAACTTCTGGACTTTGGTCTCGTTCTTTGACTTGAGGTTTCCCTGCACATTCGTTTTACAGACATGGTTTGTTTGTATCAGGCTGTTGGTTCCTTGCCTCTCAGGTAGATGCATCCCAACTTCGAAGGAAACACCCTTAATTAGTCGTCAACATGCTTGTTCGGGCAGCTGGTCTATTCCCTTTCACCCCAATGCGATCAAATGAAGAGGTTCTGAAGTAGATAAAAAAAAAAAATGACAGCATTTGTATTGAAAGAAATACAAAAGAGATAAGGGCAAATTTCGCCCATTTTGAAAAGACCTAAACCACTATAAAAACTGTAGTGGAGGAAAAGGGGAAAGCAAGCCGACAAGAGACAGCGAAATAAGTGGGAGGATACCAGTCACGAGATAGGCGAAGTGTGGTCTCAGAGAGTATACATCTAGGGCTAGAGATTGATCACGTTTGAGAGACGCCTTATCTGTATATGGGGCTCTAACTCGCCTAAGGGACTTAACTTCCAACAAGGTCACAACTTTAAATTCAAGATCTGAAACAAGACTAAAGTTTGATAAACAAATGAAGGAGTCAGAAATTCTTCTCGGAGTTTACAGCAAGATGACGCTAAGAAGCTTATTACAGTCGCTGAAATTAAGAACATCATCAAAACATCAAAGAAGTCGGCTCCTAGCCCTGATAGCATTTATTATGAAGACATTGTCAAGCTGCCCACAAAATCCACGGAGGTCCTATGTAAAGCCTGAATGACAGCATCTGTAATGGTACCTCTCAGAAACCTGGCTGCATAGCTATTTGATTCCGCTAGAAAAACCGGGAAAAGACGTCACACACATAAATGGCTATAGAATCATTACGATGCAGAACACATTAGGCAAAACATTGGGAAAGATAATAGCTGCTGCCTTTGCACATGACACATTTGAAGGTTTTCAAGCTAGATTTGAAACATGTGCAGTCGCATAGATTTGGAGGATGCATACAACACAGTTCCCTTCCACCAACTTATATTTCAGTTAATTGAACTCAACATCCCCCCCCCCCCCCACATCTCATTCGATGGATATCTGCCCCACTTTTCCAGAGGAGGGTCGTGCTTCGATGTGGTAGTTGGTCTTCTGAGCCGATAACAATACACCTTGGTTTGCCACAGGGTTCTCCATTTTCTCCTATCCTCTTCAACATTTACATAGTCAAGATCACAGTAGAACAACTGATTGGCAGAGGAAGAACTCTATACGGATAATATCCTCGGTACCGACAGGGCAGGGACAGAGATGACATTGTTTCGGATCTACAACAGGAATTAGATCGCATATCATCTTGATGCAACACCCCAGGGAAAACAATTAATCTATCAAAAGCGACAGTCTTCTGGTTCTAATTAAATAATCACCTTTCTAAAAGACCAATGCCGATAGTAAAACTATGTGGCGCTGACGTTGAGAGATCTGATTCCATGAGATACCTGGTTATAGCATTTGACAGATGCTTAGCATTTAAAAAAACACGTAGACCACATTATAACCAAAGTCAAGAAAGGTCTCTCCGCAATAAAAGTTATGGGAGCTGCAAACTTTGAGCAAAGGCTACTTGTAATGTTGTATCGTGCATTAGTTCTCTCCAGCTTTGAATAAGCCTTGGCCATCATGACACTGGGCACCACACAGATGACAGGTTAGTTGCGTATCCTTTACAGGACGTTGCAGAACCAATCCCAACAGCCACTGACTGTTGTGTAGTTTTTCTAGGCACATGTACGTCCAGTAGTTTGCCATTGCTTTCTGGACGTTTGGCTTTCTTGATACCACTGTCGAAACCAACGCAAGGTGCATGGCCCGCAGCTGGGATCGAAACCGGAATCCCGGCACTACGAAGCGTTCGCATCGACTTAGCCACACATGAACAGACTGGAAAAAAGTGAAAACGAGCCCATGCGCATTATTCTTGGATGCACTAGAGACACCTCCTGTAAATCCATGCAATACTTCCTAGATTTTCCCACAATGTAAAACAGAATCAAACCACCCATTGCTGTTGCTTTCCTCAAAGTAAAGTCAGACCATCGACACCCACTTTGTGAGGAATTATTCAAGCAAAAAAAGAGTAGACTCAAACGAGGCAAATCTTGGATGGGTCGGGCTGAGGATGCCATCGAACATGTTTGCCGTCTTACTGACATTATACTGGAAATGAATGGATAATTATGCCTCCCTCTCCAAACAATAATATTACAGTTCATATTACACTTGATGGAAGCTGTAGAGAGCAGATTCCTGGCATTGTTGACACTTTAGTTAGAACACTGATTGACGAAAACACAGATGAAGGTGATGCTATAGTTTAAACAGATGATTCAGTCATTAGGGGCAAGCGAAGTGCAGGGCCTTCACAGTAAGCTCAAGGGGGAAAAACCATCAAGGAGATGAATGGCGCCTTTGATGTTACAACTAGTAGCCTTACAATGGAAACTATGGCTGTAACAAGGGTTTTAGCATGGCTTGGTATTCAAAAGTTCTTAGTGATTCAATGAATATGCTTAAAAATAATCCAAGCTGGATTTATCAGGCAAGAATGGATTGAAACACTAAGCACTTCGCAAATATCTGCCCTAACCTTCATCTTTGTGCCAGGTCATGCGGGTGTTCAAGGGTATGAGCTTACAGACTATCTTGCTGACACTGCAGCTGCTATGACTGGCCCAGTACTAGACAGAAGTGATGTTATCAATGCCAGGCGCTGCACTTACCGTACCCAGAAGCACGTCAAAGGACATGACTCCATATCCCTGTCTAGATTGATGGACACGGGGGTGCATCCTGGAGCAGCAAGAAATGAACATTTCACTAAGGGGACAAGACGTTTCATTAACCAACACAGAACAGGCGTCATCAGTCGTTTTACACTTGTGGAGCTTTTGAGGAAGAGATCGGAGCACCTATGGATCTGTCTAGAGTGCTGTGATGATAATCATTTCTAATCACCAATCACCAATGACGCTAAGAAGAGAAAGGAGGGTGATCAGAAAACAATACACTGCTTTTTGTTTTTGTTTGTTTATGAATACGCAAACCTGACCTCTAACACGGATCCAAGGTGAGATGCAACGTAGGCCAGTCCAATGGAGATCAAGCCATAGAAAACAACTGAAACACAATTCATCATGTTTTTAAACAGTTAGGAAAATATATACATATGTACACACACATGCATGTATACATTCACACACGCACATGCACACAAACACACATATATAGTACCTACACACATATGGACCAAATATATCAATTTATCTTCAAACATTTTCAAATGTCCCACCCCCCCCCCCCCAACCTCAATGTTTCGTTGTGCCAGTGCGCCTACTATGAGGTTTAAAAAAGTTTAGTTGCTTATCCTTTCCAGAAACCAACTCTAACATTTATTGGCTCTTGTGGTTTTTCTAGGCAAATTTTACGTTCAGTAGTTTGCCATTGCCTTTAAATGGTCAGCTCTCGGAACCACTGTCGAGACCAGCGCAAGACAAATCGTCCGCAACAGGGATCGAACATGGCACTCCCAGTATTACGAAGCGCGTTCTCAACGTCTAAGCCATAGACGCTATAAGGTAGCGAAGCTATTATCAGACACATCGTTAAATGGTACCAAAGGATATAGTTACCTATGCATTTTGACGTGATTGTAGACCTGAATTCACCAACACTACGTACACATGATTGCTGTAAAAGGTCTCGTAATGTGACTGCCGCTAGAGCATTCAGCCCTGAAGACAAGGAACTAAAACAGAAAATGATATGCACTAAATAAATAAATAAATAATCAAGATTATGCGAGGACTAAAGAAATTCAATTAAACAGCTATATGGGTATTTACGTCTGTACGTGTAGCCTATGGTGCTCGAAGAACCATAATTTTTGACCATATATATTTTAGACTCAGTAAGACAAATCAATGTCCCACTTTCATCATCATGTAACATTTCTTTTGCGCAATGTCGCTCTCAGATCATCTCAGTCCTCTACCAACTTTCCCGTCTTGTAAACTTTCATTGTTTGTCTGCGTTCACCGACTGTAAACTTCGGCGGAAAGTCCTGGTTGTTCGTCCATTTCTAGGCTTTGGGTTTTTTCCTGGCACTAGTTTTGCTCTAGCGTTTTACAGATCTGGTTTATTTGTACGCTGGTGCTTTACCTCTCACACACCCCTAATTAGTCGTCATTTACTACATGCTGGTTTAGAAGGGGGGAGGGGGTAAGTGGGTCTATCTCACCCCCTTCCCCCAACGGGGCCTTGGAACCTAAATGGGCAATGTATGCTCTCAGATCTAGAGTGTCTCCTATATCTGTGTCCACAATCGTGCTTGTGAAAAAGATCTCCCTGATCAGGAAAGTTGTCTGATCTCTCAACATTCTTGTTGCACGGGTGGTTAAAAAATGAACAGAACAAATAGTCGGTGAATATTAAAATGCATCTGTGTCACAGCAAACCGCTAAGTGAGGAAATTTGTGTATTTATATCCTTGAACGAAAGGCAGCATGATTTAGCCTGTTGAGTTCATTATTATCCCCAAACATGAAAATGGAAACACCAAGAGGCAGTGAGAAATAAAGAAGTCTAAAATTGTGTGGATATCATTAGACTGTAGCACAGGAAATAAATAAAACTTCAGAGCTGTGTCTATATTACTAGACACAGTAAGGCATGAAAATGAAAACTTCAGAATTGTATCGAAATTACATGACACAGGAACGCATGAAAAAAACTTCCAAGTCCAAGTCCTTTTGAGAGAAAAAAAAAAAAAAAATGAAAAGGTCGACCACTTTCAGACTGCTGCTAGCTAGCCGAGGCTGCTAACAGTCTCCGCCTATATTTGTGGTCTGGGTTATTCGTGTCACTTTCTTGACTAAATTTTAGTATTGCGCCATTTCTGGGCTTGATGCTTCCATCCGGTTCCGATCGCTCGTCCCGCACTGTTGTTAGCTGTTCATTTCTTTCCTCTTCTTATCTGGTGTCTCCTCTTGGTGTCATCTCTCTCTGATTTGGTCAGGCGTATCTCGTAGCAGAGCGAGCTTTTCCACACAACGTCCTTTGGACCACCATTTATAGTTTTAAAATTTTGAGTATTTTATTTTGCCAAAAAGTACTGAAAACAGTTTTTGATTTTGGATAGTTCCGAAATGTAAAACAACTTCAGAATTGTATCGATATTACTAGACACAGTAACGCACGAAAAAGAAAACTTCAGAATTGTGTAAATTTGAATAGACACAAACAGTAATGAGATTAAGAAAACTTCAGGATTGTGTAAATTTGAATAGACACAAACAGTGATGAGATTAGGAAAATTTCAGAATTGTATAAATTTGAATCGACACAAACAGTAATGAGATTATGAAAACTTTAGAATTGTGTAAATTTGAATAGACACACACAGTAATGAGATTAAGAAAACTTCAGAATTGTGTAAATTTGAATAGTCACAAACAGTAATGAGATTAAGAAAACTTCAGAACTGTGACAATATTACTAGCCCCAGTAAGGCTTGAAATTAAAGAAACTTTCGAACTGAGTCGATATTATGAAAGAAAGAAGAATTTCCAATTGTAATCGTCCATAACTGACCGAGTTCTATTTCAAAGTATGCCGAAAATGAAGGATTAAAAGGGACAGGGGAGCAGCGTAAAATAAATTTAAACATATTTTCCAAATTACTCATGATAAATTTTATCGCTGTTTCATTTCCAAACAGTTAGGGTATCTGTCTTTTAATATAATTTAGCTCCTTGACATCAAATTTAAAATACATTTATAGATGTATTCTCAATGTTATAATTTATAATCAAATCCATTTAATAGTATAACATATAACAACTATTCAACTAACCTTAAGCTTCCACTAATTACACAAGAAACAAAGATTCCAGGAAGACCCGGGTAATTGCCGAGAACATCCATTACATATAGAGGAACCAGCTATCAAAAAGAAGGAAAATATCAGTCAAGAATAGAGTCCAAACGTGTAAATTTAAACTTTGTTACAAAAATAAAATCAAAGTAATTTGACGTACTGCACTGTGCTAAATATGTTTAACAAATGGTGCATATAATATATATCTTAGCTGAGTTGAGAGCCGACATCAGTGTATTATTTCAATTGTAAATAGATTGTATATATATGCATATACACACACATATACACACACACACATATACACACACATACACACACACGCACAAATGTGTGTGTGTGTGTGTGTGTGAAAAAAAAAGAGATATATGGATTTTTTTTCATTTCTGTTTTATAGCATGGATTTGGTTCGGCCATCTCGTTAGAATGCAGCAAGATCAAAATATCATCCCAATCACTACACATTGGAAGATCAGTTACAAGAGCAAGAGGACGGCCGCGAAACATGGATCGACAATATTAAAGACACTTAATGCCTTCACAGCTTGGAAATAACCAGTGTGCACTGGATCGCAGATTATTCTTCCCCACGGTGTTTAACGGCAGAAGTGGTTTATGATGATGATGATGATAGTAAAGAGTGAAATCATACTGTAATTTCATAGCAATAAACTACGATTATCCATCCCTAACAACACACTTACATCGGACTACGGGCTGCTACGTCTCTTTTTTGTAGTTCACCAATATAACTGTGTTTAATCGTTATACCCGGGAAGTCTGTCTAACTCGAACATCAAATGCCTGCAGAAGTCGGAGGTGTCGCAGCCATGTTGTAAACGGGAACAACGCATTGGCGTCTTCAGATAAACGCTAAAGAAGATATAGCTATATGGCTGAATAGCATTTCTGGGATTTGTGAGTGTTTGACTCTCATCCTTGAGATATTAATCCTACAGAATGCAAATCTTGAGGAGTAAAATTGAAAAAAAAAAAAAAAAAAATGGTGGAGGTGGGAGGGAGGGTTACGAAATCTTGCAACACATCAGCGTCATCCTTCGTGTACTGTTAGACTCCATACAGCGCGTGCATCGATTACTCTACTCCAACTTGATTTCATGCAACTCTCTCGATTGCGGACACGAAATTCAGCCCCGAATATTTAGATTATCGTAATAATGTCTTCTTGACGTTTTTCTTGAACTTCCCCTTTTTCTTAGATATTTTGTTTCCAATGTCAGGGTTTGTTTTCTAATTCTTTGCTCATTTCGTCTCACAGTGTGCCCAATATATCTTCACCTTCTGTGTTGTATTGCAGTCGATTCAGGTATTTGTCCTATGATCTCTTTTTTTTTCTTAAATTTATCCCATTTTATCTTCTAGATTTCTCTTAAACAATAATTTTTAAATGCATTTATCTTTCGTTCCATATCTTTGGCAGCTCTCTAACTTTCGCTGGCATATGTTAAAATTAAAATAACATTAGGAGTGAAGATTGGTAGTTTTGTCTTAAAACTGTACAACAGAGCTAGCTCACATTTTGTTAGGGATTTAAAAGACTGGTGAATCTGGTAATCTTAGTTTCAGCTTCATAGCAAACGGGTCACCCCATAGTTGCTCCGCTTCTGTGCCAACGAAAAACACAAAAAATGTTTTTAGAATTTCAAATGAAATCCGCAGCTCACAGTGTCACGCCATGCACTCAACTCACAAGCTGGGCAACGAAACTATATCCTTTCTGTCTACAAATGGAGCAAAAATGCAACGGCCACAGTATGGCAGAAGCAAAAACAAAAAAAAAATGTCCCACGGCTAAAAGAAGTGGCTGTGCCTAGCGTCCATTTTTACCTAAAGCATTATGTGAGGGTTAATGAACGGTCACCCCAGCAGTACCCTCACTATTAGCTGGGGAAGAGACAGGACATTACATCCACTAGCAAGCTTCGCCCCTACAACGACCTGACTGCCTTCGTTAACGACTGTTCACCCAACAACCATGCAGTTCTTTAGCTCGAAGGAGGCACCTTGAACTTGGGTTTGGGTTTCGGACTGCAGAGTCCCTACAAGATGTTATGTTATTTTCTGTAATCCCAATCTACGTGACTACACATTGGGCATTCCTATGCGTGTTCAGTCCTCCGATGCAGCAGCCACTCTGCAATGACTAGGGGTTGTAATACCTCGTTGTCTAGGTGGTGTTTATGTGTGTATCGTGAATGTTCTCATCACACACTCTACGTTACATAACTGGTACAAGCCGACACTGACTTAGCCGTACGAAACATAAGTTTATTGGCATGTTATAACTTACATATGAGCCCAGTCGTTGTCCTAATTACAGCTCTCGCACACCACTTCACGCAGCCTTCAACTCGCAGGTTCCTCACGCATTCACTGACCAGAGTCTACCCTGATGCATCTCGTTGATCTTCGAAACATTACACAGAATGGCCTGGCTGATCTTGACTTCCACACGTCGTCGTCTGATTCTCCTTTCACCACAGCAATCTCACGTTGACATTCATACGCTCAGTCTCCCGTCCTTTCGCTCCAACAAGTCGACACAAACTAACTTGATCAGAATCAACTCTGAACTTATACCACGGGTTAGTTTCACGTGGCAACACGTGGTGGTCCTTTACTTCCACGTGGCGAACTTTGGTCGCGTCATCGTGATACACGTGATAACTTGTGATCATCACCTATCTCAAGACTCTCGTTTAATCCGAGTCTCTGGAATATCTCGGTGTTTTGGGTTATCCTTGGGCCTACCCGCCAACCTTCCTAATCTGGGTGAAAATATCCCCATTGCACACTCCAAAGTACTTCTACTTATTGTTCCCATGAGAAGCTGGTTATATTGTCGCCTATCTCGGCCGCGAAGACGGCAAAAACGTGCTTCACCATGCTTTACTCCCATGTCACGCAATCGTACCAATGTCAGGGATTCCTCTTTATCGACTATCCCAGTCAGTACAGCGTTGACGATATCTGCTCTGTCCATGCTTTTTCCCGCAATCTTTAATGCAGTGCTTGCCAGCTGGTCCGCTCACTCATTTCCCTTTAAGCCTGTATGAACCGGTGTGTAGATCCAGGTTACGGAGGTTAAGTTCGATTTTCGAATGCTTTCTACCGATTCAGAGAGCATACCGCCTGTTGCTATCTTCTGAAGCATATTCGTGGAGTCTGATACAATAACTGCCTGTGTGGCGGTTTGCTTGGATACCCATGCTAAAGCTCTAGAAGCAGCGGCTATTTCCATGGTCATGCTTGACGTGGTTGTCTGGTAAGCGCCGCTGTCCTCTTGTTTTCCCCCTTCTTTGCGCTGTGTATGCCCATGCTGACCTTGATCCGCGCTTCACTGATCCATCTGTCTAGATGATGATATCTTCTGGGTCTGAATGCTGATCTATCAGTTCCCTTACTTCTGTGTCTACTGCAGCAGGAATTTGATCCCGGCAGTACCTTCCGAGTGTGATGACAACCTTAGATATGCCATGCATGTCTACTGGTGTATTCGTCCATTCTTTTCCGTGACTGGTCACGTCTAGGTCACATACCTGCTGGATTAAATCCTCAGTCTTTTGCCATGCAAGAGCGGCCTCTTTTGAGACGCATTCCTTTTGTGTTCTGTCTAGCTTTGTGCAGTGGGTGGTTAACGTCTACTTTGTATCTGCTAGTCATCGTCGGCAAACCCAGGACATACTGCATGGCTTTGCAGGAGGTGTCTTTTGTGCAGCCGAGTATGAGTCTCATGGCCTCATTCTGTACTCGGTCCAGTCTTTCTAGCTGGGTTTTGCTGACAGTGAGGAGGCCAAGACCTTATAGTCAATGACGCTTAAACAAGCCCTTGATGGAAAAGGAAAAATAGGCGGTGTTCAATATCAGCTGCTGCTAGCACCTTGAGTGCTGTCAAACCTTTTATGGCTCTAAGCTCCAGTTTCCACCAAAAACCAGTTGCTTAGGCCATTTTAAGTGCGCATTGCACATTCTGAACTAACGAATAAATTTACAATAACGCGACGTATTTTGGCTGGTATGTGGTAGCATTCGAAAATTCCCTATAATTCAATTCTATTAAGCTGTCAAAGGCCTTTTTGAAATGGATAACTTTCAAGAAGAGAAAATGTTTCTTTTAAAAAATACTGCAATAATAATACGTAAGTGTATTATTCATGGATCGATGGACAAGAAAAAAAGCTCACCTGATCGGTTTTGGCTACTAGACCGTATGTGATTGGATGACAGTCCGCATAAAATGCATACATGACAACACCAATCATGCAGCAGGCACTAACGATGAACGCCAGACCCGGCATGTTGATCCACATGGCTCTGTGACAATAGCACAGTAGTACAATAATTAAGTTTTCAACCCTAGGGGCCACTGAGAAGTATTGGGTGTTTAGTCTTATAGTTGGGTATATTTGTTACAGATCAGTCAGCATTCTTTTTTCTTCCTCTGTTCGTTCTTCCTGTCCGTGGTTTTCAGATGAGAAGTCAACAGGCCTGCATAAATCCTGCTATGGGCATGTCCTCACATCTTGGTTTCCACAGAAAGGCTAACTCGTCAGACAAGAGATCTCTTTACCATATGTAAAAAGTAGGTTTGCAGCACATGTTAAGCAATCGACGACTCAATCAGCATTCAGTTCAGTTAGTCACTTATGTCGGCTCTGTGGGTAAGTCGATGCGGGCGATGAGGCAATGCGCCTTGCGTTGGATTCGACAGTGGTATCAAGAAAGCCGACCGTACAGAAAGAAATGGCTAACTACTGGACGTAAATTTGCCTAGAGAAACCACACAACAGCCAAGGGCTGCTTGTGTTGGTTCTGCAACGTCGTGTAAAGGATAGGCAACTAACCTTTAGTCACTTATTCTGTAAAACACAACACAAGAACACATCACACATGCAAGCATGCACGAACACACACACACACACACACATTAAATCAAGGAGGCACTAAATAAATGTTTTGCTTATGTTTATAAGTTACAACTAATTATTTCACAAAGCTGACGGAGAACAGTTCTTACATCTGAGCTTTACGGACTGTTGAACATGACAGACAACGTTGAACTTGAGCTTGGTTGACTCCGTATAAGTGCATCCAGAATGCCCATCCACCAAACACCATAGACCACACAGAATGGCGAGTTTTTGGATCCAAACTGAAACTACAAATAGTATATGTTCTCAGTGCAAATGTATTCATAAACTAACACAATGTTTCACCGCGTACATTTAAACAACAATAGATTGATTACTTAGGAAGTTATTGTATACCTTATTGTATATACTGTTGAATTTAATGAAGCAAATAAATGAATCCTTCTAACTAAAACACAAAATCAACCCCTCTTTAACCGGCTAACCTTCTTCCTGCGAATCTCACTGTACAGTGGGTGTAACTATCGGCATTGACTCACAAATACACACACGCGCGGCAGATCGTTGTTCTCACTTCCATGGTTGGAAAAAAAAATAAGGTCGCCCTGCTTGTCGTATTCGTATGATAAATGACAGTACTTGTATTATGGCTTCCAAATATATATATATATGAGTTGAGTCAAGAACTGATATCACAGCATTCGGGGCATTCCCATGTGTGCTTCGTCCTCATCTTAAGCAGTCAGCGCAGAGTCCCAATGCAGATAGCGCCGGTCACAATCTGGTTATTTGTCCGTCCTGCCCTCCCTCTGAGTGAAGACAGCCGGCCAAACCCTCTGGTTACACCTAGGTGCCTCATTCTCTCTAGGCATTAATCTTTTTTTCTACCAATTCCGTTCCTTGTTCCCTAAGGGCTTTGACCACATCTGACTGGTCATGTATCAGTTCACCACCCAGTGGTGCAGATCCAGCCAATCTGTCTGGCTGTTCATTATCCACCACACCGACATGGCCTGGAGAGAAGATCCAAAGTATCCTCACTACCCGTGACCTTTCTAGTGAAGCTTGCCACTCTGCTCGAAGCATCCCTCTCTTTACCTTTCTCAGCATGATTTCAAAGTATTTTACAATTACGACATGTGTATGCATCTTGTTCTCTAGCCAATGGAGAGCTCTAGTTACCGCCTCCACCTCCATTCTCATGCTAGATGTTGTAGTTTCGTATGCTGGGCTGTCTTGCACTAAAGATTTTCCATTAGATTTCTCTACGAACCCTGAGGCATTTCTCTTTCCTCTCAACACCGAACCATCTGTATAGATATTTATATCACCTGGGCGTGAATTGTCGTAAATCAACTGTTGGACTTCCACCTCTATAGTACCCGCTGGCCACTCTCTGCACTCCCGGCCTAATGTGATCATAACCGTACACAGGTAAGACTTTTCTGCTGGTACTCTGACTCACTCCTCTCCTCGCCCAATGTTCTCCAGCACGCATACGTGTCTTATTGTGTCTTATTGTCTCAAACCCCTCTATGTGATCCTTGAATATAATGTATATTATAATCGAGTATGTGTAAAACATTGTCAAATATAAAATAAATTTAAACATCCAATTTAAAAAAAATACGGTCGAGTCTGGATAAGTAGAAGTCTCAGGGACCTAAGAAAATGCTTCCACTTATCAGGAGTTCTACTTATCCAGACAGCACACACAATAGAAAATGTACACTAAAACCGAGCAGTATCATTGAGTAAAATAATTATACCAGTTAGGAAATACCATAATTAAATACATACATGTATAATGTTTTTGGAGCAAAAATTAATATAAGACCCAGTAGTTTTTTTTTAAATGTATTTAACATTTTTTATTTTATTTTAGAGAAACATGAGACAAGTTAAACAAGGTAAAAGACCTTCCACAGTGTGAGGCTATACTTTATTAGCATACTAGCTGTACCCGGCCGCGCGTTGCTGTGACCTACATTGGTGAAATGGAGAGGAAAGAAAATAGCTCTTAGCTTACAGTCTCTGTCATACCCCCCTCTCCTCTCCCCTCAACGCAGTAATATTTCCCTCTCCGAAGGATTTAAAAAGCATCCATGGCGAAATTATTAAAATAGAAATAGTTAGGAAATGAGAACTTTACAATTATATTTTAAGCTCTCTCAGCTAACTGTGTTTGGCATAACCCCCCCCCCTCCCCCGCACCTCCACTCACATCTACCTCTCCTAAAGATTGAAAAATCATCACCTGGCGAAGTCATATCTCCCTCTCCGAAGGACTGAAAAATCATCCATGGCGAAATTATTAAAAGAGAAATAGTTAAGAAATGAGAACTTTTAAAATAGAAATTTTAAAGCTCTTTCAGCTAACTGTGTCCGGCATAACCACCCCCTCCTCCCCCCCTCCCCCCCCCCCCTACCTCTCCTAAAGATCATTCATCACCCCCCCGAAGTCATTCTCCCTGAAGGATTGAAAAATCATCATTTGGCGAAATTATTAAAAGAGAAATAGTTAGGAAATTAGAAATTTAAAAAAATACTTTAAGCTCTCTCAGCTAACTGTGTCTGGCAAACCCCCCCCCCCCCCCCCCCCCCCCAATCATATCATCTTCTCCGAAGGATGGGAAAATCAGCGTGTAACGAAATATTGTAACTAAATTGAGCTTTGCATCCGTGTCTACCCAGACTTAAATAGGTTGCATTAACTTGTACAGAGAAGTAAATGTAGCCAGTATAACAGCTACCACATCACCCATCCAGTACCAGTACTACTGCAACCACCACCACCACCATCATCATTACAACAACAACAACAAAAACTGTCACTACAGTCTGTGTTGGTCGGTGTAGAAAAAAGTAGTTAGCGCCGCATGCAGTCGCCACGGACTATTTAGTTTGATTTTGCCCCGGACATAGGAAAAAAAAAAAACTTCATCACGTAACCAGCGATGAAGCCCACAGTAAAAATAGGGGAGAAAAATACCCCGCACCCGTCATCTCTCCCTCTTCGCGGAAAAGATTTTTAACTGACCTTGGCATCCGTGTCTACCCAAACTAAACTGGACTGTAAGCCGTCTTAGTTAACAGTTTCTGTCATCGCTGAATAGTTTTTGATCGAGAATTAGGACTTAACTGAAATCGGATGTCTTTGGGCGAAAGGCGCAGATATCACAGCCTAGCTGTAAACCACAACACCCTTTTTAGGGGAAAAAGAACAATTATCACCCAGCAGGGAATCGAACACTGGTCACCCGAGTGAAGGATTACATACTTACAATTTTACTACCGACGACTGAAGAGTTTAGGTCAGATATCGCAGCCTAGCTGTAAACCACAACAGAACGTGCCAACGGCCCTCTCGAGGGCGAACGAAGATTACTCGTGACATGACCATTGAGCATCATGTCGCCGCTGTCGCTGGCTAGCTGTAAATCCCAAAACCGAAAAAGGCGTAGATATCGCAGCCTAGCCATTAACAACAACACAACGTGCCAGCCGCCCAGTTAGGGGCTAAAAAATAATTATATCACCTAGAGGGGAATCGAAAGCGGGTCATCTGCATGATATGCAGAATAGTTAACAACTACGCTACCAAACACTCAAGCAAATAGTGGAAATGAAATTATATAAGAGCAATAAAATTTCAGCAGTCAAATATGGCCGATCACATAAAAAGAAATTCGGACCGCCAACGAAACAAATACTGATTTGACCGTTGCTGGAGCTACGTCGTTCGTGGTTTGTGCAATTTTCTGACAAAAAATCACGCTTGGAGTCAAAGGCAACGTTGTGTGCAAATTTGAAAGCAATCGGTTAAGTAGTTTCCGAGTTTGTAGCTTAGATCTTCAGAAAATTAACATTTTTATTAATAAAATATAGAAATGCATCTGCATTCTCTTCATGTCTATAACATACAAGGTTGTTACAAGCGATCTCTATTGCTGCCCTTCTACTGCTTTTCTGCCTGTGGTATCCCACGAAATTTTAAATTCCTTCATTTCTCTTTCCACTGACCGTCTCCATATTTTCTTAGGCTATTAATGTCTCCCTTCTCCATCTGCCGTCCATCGGAGAGTTTTCCTTGCCAAAGTATCGTGAGGCCTTCTGCAATCATGTCCAAGCCATCCCCATCCTCTTTCGTTGATAATTTTTGTCAGTGATAAACATTTCATTTGCCTCTTCAAAAAACAAAAATACTTACTTATCAAATATAATCCTGCCATTCGAATATGCTGTTTCCCAAGCTTTGGCGAAGCCTCCCTGCACGATCGATCCCTGAATTAGTACAGCCAGGAGACCAGCAACGATTACACCAGCTTGAAATGTGTCAGTCCACACCACTGCTTTCATACCACCCTGAAAAAAATTAGAAAGAAAAGAAAAAAGCAAACTTAGTTACAAATCCTTTTAGAGGAGTTTGCAATCCAACCCTAACATCTATCGACTATTCGTGGTTTAATTATGTGCTTTTAAATTTCAGCAGTTAGTCATTGCCTCCTCAACGGTAGGCTGTCCACATCATTGTCAAAATCAACGTCGTTGACCCTACAGCTGGAATCGAATCGGATAGCTTGGAATCGATTTGGCCACATAACTTCCCCAAGCAACTGGAAGTAATACTGCTCGTATAAAATCTACCCGCGAACATCTATTTGCACTGTCGTCAATCAGTAGGTCCTTTACAGAACTTGGTTCTCGTCACTGCACACTGGAAAGTTTCTTTCTCTAGCCAGTTCTTCAGCCCTCTGTGCTTACGTAGCCAATGCATCTTTAATGTCTTGTATTCCCTGTTCGAGGAGGTCTACCTCTGTATCGTTTTACGGAAACTGTACCTCCATTACCGTTCTCTTCAGTTTTCGGGACAAGATGCTGTTTATGAGCTACTTCTCATAAGATCATGAGGATTTTTGTGTTTTTTTCTTTTTCTTAAGTAAGTAAGTAAAGTAAAGGACCCTTTTCCACACCTCAAAGCGTATAGGGCATATAGGGCTAGACCTATATTATTATAGACCAATCTGTACATGATGGGTGATGTGTTCAGTATCACGCCGGCCGCCTTCACTTTCCTGGGACTGCACCCGGTACCCACTCAAGGCTGGGTTGACCTGGAAACCAAGGTCATTGTTGAAAATAGTCTGGCTCCGCCAGGGAGCGAACACGACCTTCCGATCTTCGGCGAGAGTCTAGCCGCTCGGCCACGGTGACTCCCTTTTCTTCTTCTTGGTCTATGGATTTATTTTGAGTTGCATTTCTGTTCAAAAGCTCCGATTTTGTTCTTCAATGATTAACTTAGGAGCGAATGACCAAGTCACTGAAGAAGAACAAATGTTTAACATGCACAAAGTGAGGGAAATACAGGGATAATGAAGGTCACAAGACCATTTATATTTTTCTATTATTTCCCTACTTTGGCATAGGGGCTACGAACGTGGTCTGCATCTGAATGCATCTGCCTGAAGGGCAAGCAACCAACAGTCTGCGTACACATAAGCAAGATCTGTAAAATGGATGTGCATGCAAAACTCAAGTTCTGGAAGCAAAACCAAAGTCCAGAAGTGGACAAACAACCAAACTTTCAGCTGCATTGTACAGCAAGTGACCACTTAGAAGAAGCAGGTGAATAAGCGGTCTGCAAACAAATTGCCTGCAGCTGACTTTGTTAAAAAAAAAAAACAGGTAAAGGTCCCTTTTCTACACCTTTAGGCGTATAGGGCATTCAGGGCTAGACATATATTTTATAGACCAAAGGCATAAGATGGGTGATGTGGTCAGCATCACGCCGACCGCCTTTACTTCCGGGATTGCACCCGGTACCTACTCAAGGCTGGGTCGACCTGTGAGCCAAGGTTTTTTTTTTTTAAAAGTTCAGCTCTAACAGGGAGTGAACCCAGCAACTGACTTTGAACCCTGGTATAAGGAGATTGTGAAACTGCCTTCACAAATCCTAATGCGACATAATGCAAAAAATACGTGTTTAAAAAAAAAAATCACCATTATCTTCATCACAATGGTTTACCAGTGTTAAACTAAAAAAAAAAAAAAAAAATTAAAAACAGTAATTTAATCATTAAATAAAAAAAAAAAAAAACTGCGGCTAGCTGATTCAAGATACGCATTGGCAAGACAACAGCGGCGTCAAAAAAGCCTAAACAAAATCTGTAATTCGAAATACCTTTAAAACTAAGTCACTTATTTTCACGTTATTCGAGTTTTAACATATGCCAGAGAAAGCGTGGAAACCTGTCACCTAAGAAATGAAACAAAAGTTTAATGCATTCGATAGCAAATGGAATTGACGAAGACTGCGTATAATGAATTCAAGACAAACAATGGAATGGGACAGTGATTTCCAAACTAAGCGCCTTAGCGCCCCAGGGAGCCGCGACCTCTTCAACGGGGCGCTGCGACATATTGTAAACGTTTTATAATTAGTCTAACCAAGACATGAATAGTCATACTTTTACTTAGTTTAGGGCGCCGTGGAAATTGTTTTTATTGAAAAAAGGCGCTGCTACCAAGAAAAGTGGGAAACACTGGAGTAGGAGAAAGGTCTTGACAACCGCTTTGCATCAAAAATAAAAAGATAAAGAAGACGGCGATGTATTTTGCGATACATTGGGGAGAAGAGGTTAGAGAATTACCGACTAGGCACTTTAATGGAAAACATAGGAACTTGGACGAACGTTGTTAAAAGACATCAAAAGTGCTGGACTTATTTCAATTCTTGACATTGAAATAATTGCACAGGAGAAAACAGAGTGGAATAATAAATTGCGAAACCTATGTGAATGATAGGATGATGATGATGATGACGATGATAATAATCCAAGATATATCAAGTTAAAGATCTATTGGCCCAAGTTGGGATTGTGTTCTGAAACACATTATTTGTCACGTGACGCATTTAACACATCGAGTTACGTGGTACACAATTGCACTGATAGCAGCAGTGGAAACGACAACCAACCTTACCATTGTGGTATAAAATGTCACCACGCATCCCATTCCGACTACTGACCCCCACAAGTGGACACCAGTCACTGAAACAAAGAAAAAAGTAAAAACAGAAGAGAATAATCATTTCTAAAACGTGCGCTTAACAGTATTTCCCAACAGTTATATATCCGTTATATAACGTGTTAAACAATGACTGGTTTGGCACTGCGCTCCCTACACCACCACCCCTCATAACCATCTTACACATTGTCTAGAAAATCAATTGGGTGGCTGTGGCAGCTCAGGCCCCTGTGCTCCATGCAAAACAACCCCGCCCCCACCAACTACCCAATCATGACCGGCTCCAGCTGACGGGGCGTGCTGCTGACGTCACCGCGTCAGGCTAACGATGCATTAACGCAGCGGTTCTCAAACAAGATATAAACTATTTTCGACAGTGGCAAGGAAAGACAACTTAAATTTTATCTTTAAGTATCTACATGCCTTCTTTATTATTTCACATTTTTAGCCGACTTTTCTTTAATACGCGGCAGCCCTGGCATACGCTCAGGACACCCCAGGCTGCCTCAGCACCCAGTTTGAGAAATGCTGCGTTAACGCATCGTTAGCCCGACCCGGTGACGTCAGCAGCACGGCCCGTCAGCTGGAGCCGGTCGTGGACAAATTGTCCGCAGTTGGGATCAAACCCGGCATTACGAAGCGTGTTCGCGTGAAAAGGGTACATTAATCTTTACAACTGTGGAACCTGTGTGTTACATATATGCTCTCTACATGCAATAGAGCGATCTCAGGTTTGCCCGGTTGGCATTCCAATATAAACCAATTACGTGGAATGGTGGAAGAGATGTGGTCGCACCACAAACTTCATAGATGTATGTGGTCTTCTTATCCAAAAACAACTGGCAGGGGGAACGGAAAGAAGAAGATTAAGATAAATGAGTTAACAAATTAAAACTATGTTCAGAGAGCTCAGTTTACCAACTGTACCCACACAGGCTAGCATGATCGTTACGGGTGCCCCAGTTCTAATCTCCTTACATGTTGAACGGAATGTCTGAGCTTTCGTCACGTTGTTTTTGTCAACCATGAAGAGAAGCTAAATTTTCTCAGGGATTATCAATTTCTCAGGGATTATCACACTTTCAGAGGTTATCACATTTTCGGCAGGCAGGCATCCCGGATGGGAAAAATACCGGCAAACGATAGCCAACCAAACAAATGTTCCGAAAATTGTTAACATAAATAAGTGAAGGGAATAAATTCTGGGCGTGGATTCCTTCATACTTGTTGCAATGTTATAAAGTTTGCGGTGGGGTAGAAATGTTAACACATATTACCCAGTGAATTATGTTACTA